AAAAGAAAACTCGATTACTGGATCGATTTGGCGAAACTGCTTGAGCGGGGTGATGTCAATGCCTTGTTTTTGGCCGACACGTATGGTGGATATGACACATATGAAGACAGCCTCGACAACTGCATCCGCCGTGCTGCGCAGTGGCCCATGACAGATCCAACAATCGTGAGTCGCTGATTCAAGTACTGCTGGAACTGAGATGCAGAGTATTGATGATTACCTCCAGCCAATCTCAGCTATGGCGGCCGTCACCAAAAACCTGGCCTTTGGTATCACTGCGTCGACTTCATTTGAACCTCCATTTCTGCTGGCCAAGCGGTTTTCAACCCTCGATCATCTGACGAATGGGCGTATCGGGTGGAATATAGTGACCAGCTGGAAGAAAAGTGCGTTCAAGGCCATTGGCCTCGACAATCCCATCGACCACGACGAGCGGTATCTGCAAGCGGATGAGTATCTGAGAGTTCTGTACAAGTGAGTTCGAGCCAGAACAAGACTGAGTTGACATGAAAGCTGACGGTTATCGTCATGATAGGCTCTGGGAAGGTTCCTGGGCGAACGATGCACTCTCACCCAACCCAGAGGAGGATTCGTACGTCGACCCCGATAAGATTCGAACGATCCATCACCACGGCAAGTATTTCAATCTTGATACACGGCATATTGTCGATCCTTCGCCTCAGCGAACACCCTTCTTGTTTCAGGCCGGCACTTCACCTGCGGGATCCGCCTTCGCTGCCACACATGCGGAAGCAATTTTCGTCTCCGCGCACAGTCCGAAGGTACTCCAGCCTAAAATTGCGAGGATCCGCCAGCTCGCCAAGGAGAAAGGGCGGGATCCACAATCAATCAAGTTCTTTGGAACGTTCACTCCAATTATTGGACGTACGGACGAAGAGGCACGCGAAAAGCTAGAAGAGGCCAAGAAATACGCCTCGACCATTGGAGGTCTTGCGCTATTCTCCGGGTGGACAGGGATCGATATCTCCAAGATACCTCTGGACCAAGACATCACGGCAGCAGATTCGACCGAGGCCCACAAAGTAAGGAGCATGCTTGATGCGTTCACGACAACGAGCCCCGATGTTCCGCGATGGACCCCAAGGGTTGTGGCTGAGAAGGCTGCGATCGGAGGCCTTGGGCCTGTCGGAGTCGGCACTCCAGAAATGGTAGCAGATGAACTGGAAAGATGGATGAGAGAGGCCGACCTCGACGGGTTCAACCTTGGCTATGTGACAACGCCAGGGACGTTTGAGGATGTGGTTGACCTGTTGATTCCCGAGCTTAGACGTCGTGGAGTCTATCCACCAGCCAGGTCAGAAGGAGCTGAGCCCATCACGGCTCGCGAGAAGGTGTATGGGACAGGACAGAACGGCCTCAGAGATGATCACGAAGGAGCGAAGTATCGGTACGATGTGTATCAGGAGGATGACTCGGGCCCGGAAGAGAGGATAGAAAAGAATGGCACCTCGACGCTGCCGATACGAACAGAGGGCGGCGCGCAGGGAGCCTGAGAGATTGAGATGAAAGTTCGCGGTTCACAACGTTGAAGACACCGCAGACCTGGTCGTGGCTGCTCTCAGATACTGTCAACATCTGGGCAGGAGTGCTCGCGCAAAGACAGCTGTGGTGGAAGTGGCGTGCGTCATTGGCTTGGCATCCGGCAGGTGCCAACTTCAACCTACAGCTCTTCTGTCCGTGAATCCGAGAGAACCAACAACATGTCTATGCAATATTGTAGGGATTCGTGCTCAGTGTCGCTGCCTCTTCTTTGCCTGCATGCCTCTGAACTACATCTTGAACAGTGTGCCCGTCCACACACTGAGGTGCGTTACTCTCTTGCCCAGCAGTAGTCACCACCCAGGGCCGACACTTCTTGAAGTCCAATTGATGACATGCTCCTTACTCGGATCTCGACCGGCTCGCGAGCGCAAGAGAATTTACGGATCGTCAGGGCATGTTGATGTGGCAGACAAAGGCCGAAGATGGGCATTTCCATGTCGCGTTGGGCTCCGCTCATTGCGTGCTTGTGAAGCTTTCTTGCTCAGCCTCGAATGCCGATATCCGTCCATGTGTTCTCAGAAAACCCAACGGCCACACGGCAGTGCCGCAGATGGCGGTCAACTTATTGGTACATTCATGCGATTTTGCAGTGCAGTACGCCCTTCTAGGTAATTACAACTAGTTTTGTCATTTCACTGATATATTCCCCACCCCACCTGTGCTCATTTCTTCGATGCAAGCGAGTTTTCCAAGGACAGAATTTGCAGCGTGTCGTCAAGGTGCCATTAACGAGAAGAGTCCGGAGTTTACCACCATGTTGCTGCTCCATCTGCGGTTGAAACGCCGTGGAGTCCACGCAGCAGAACCTCCGTGACGTGCCGATCATGAAGATAACGACAAAGCATATGCAGCAGGCGCCTACAGTAGCGCCATCTACAGTTGGGTGTTTTTCTTGGGAAGAAATACATCACTTTCGTTCCTTCTCAGGTACCCAAAAACGTGGCTTCCTCTGCCGGATTCTTGTCGATCAAGTTCAGCTTTTGGAGCGAATTATCGTTTGTAAGTGGTTGTATTTGAAGTCAATCGTCACTTCATCTCCCAGCCACAGGTTTCTTCAAGGACACTTTCCAAAACCTCAACGGCCATTTCTGCACTCTACAACTCATCTCGCCTGGAATAACAAGCGATGGCCGCCGTCGGTTCATATCCCGAATCAAAAGATGTGGATTTCAGGGTCGAGCCTCACGCGAATGTTGCGGAATCCCCGCCACTATCCATTTCGGAGGATGAAAGGGAGGCTTTTCTTAGCTCCTTTACCGCAGAGGAGGACCGCAAGATCATGCGAAAAGTGGACAAGCGGTTTCTCCTACTCATCGGATTGATGTACATGCTCAAGAACGTCGACTACACCAATGCTGCGACCGTGAAAGTCTTACAAGTCGGCCAACCACGCAATGTCCTGAAGGAACTGAATATGACGGCGGATCAATACAACTGGGTGCAATCCATCTACTTTGTAAGTCAGACACTGCTCACCACAGTTACCCGAGGCGTACTGACCCGCCTCCACTAGATCAGTTACATCGTCTTCGAGGTGCCGTCGAATCTTCTCCTAAAAAAGATGACGCCGCGTAACTGGCAGTCCCGAATCATTGCATCTTGGGGTCTTGTGAGTCGATTTGACGTTTGCGGTGTTAACTAGTCGGCGCAAAGATTGCTGACGAAAGGCTGCTGGACAGGTTCTGGCATGCCACGCTGCAGTTCAGAATCGACAAGGCCTCTATGCAGCCCGCTTCTTCCTAGGCATGATGGAAGCTGGGCTGTTTCCTGGATTAGCGGCGCAACTCCTCAGCTGGTATCGCAGCGATGAGATGGGAAAGCCCATCATGTGGATGTTCGGTTTCCAGAACTGTGCCGGTATAGTGGGCTCACTTGTCGCATACGGAATCTCTTACATGAACGGATTGAGCGGATTGTCTGCGTGGCGATGGTAAGCCTTCAATAACACGTTCAGGTCAGAGTTCCATCAAGCGCTAACGAGCCCTTTGCCAGGGTATACCTCCTAGAGGGATTGTTCACTATTCTCTTCGCAGGCGTCGTCTTCCTCGTTCTCCCAGACTACCCGAAGTCTCCGCGATCAGCGAAATGGCTCACACCACGAGAGCAAGAATACCTCGAACTTCGACTCACGGAAAACGCCCCTCGGACCCATGACCCGGCATTCAGCAAGAAAGAAGTCCTGGCTTCGCTGAAGAACCCACGAACATATGCTTTCTGCCTGTCTCAGATCCTGATGAACCTTGGCGGATACGGGCTGCAGTGGCAGCTTCCGACCGTCACGACGAGCCTGGGCTTTGCAGGTCTGCCAAGAAACCAATTGCTTAACATCCCGCCGGCGGCCGCCACGGTACTGTCCATTATCTTTGCGGGATGGTTCCTCAGCAAGGCGTATCTGACGCGGCCCAAGTTCATCATGATCATCTGTGCCGGGGCTCTGGCGTTCTTTCTGGTCTTATGCTTCAACGTGAGCCGGTATGTGACGTACATAGCAGTTATCTTCGGGACGACGTTTTACTCGGTGTACTTTATTCCTTTCTGGGCATGTAAGTGTTTATTCGGGCGTGACCCAATGCCATGCAGCTCGCTGACTCCTTCACACAGGGCGCTCCGCTACTCTAGTGGGCACAACTGGCACCGCTTTCACGTTGGCGTTCCAATCATGCATCGGACAGGTTGGCGGTGTCATCGGGCCGCAATTATTTCGTGAGCGCTATGCACACAATGGGTACAAGGTCTCTTTTGGAGTGTGCGCTGGAGCAATCGGTGCAAGCTGGTTGGCGAATATATGGACCTGGTACCTGACGCACGAGAATGAAGAGGACATCAAGCGAGTCAGGAGGCTGCGCATCAAGGCGAACAAGGACGGCAGAGTATGGGCTGGCGAAGACGTCAAGTACTGATTGTGAGGAATGGACATCTTTATGTGACAATACGCAGGGGGTATGCTTGCTGGGACTTGACGGGGCTTGTTCAACCGAAAGTATTGGTATGCTGTCGAAGTTCTGCATGGCATGCTCTTGCTCTTGGCGGACAGCGGCATGAAAAAGACTTGCAAGCATGTCGGCTGCCGCTTCTTTGTCCGAATCGCTGGATGCACCAATCATCTATAGTGCAATGCATTCGAAAAGCATTTGTCCATTTCTCCCTGCCAATTAACCGTTGCTGTGCCAAAGGATCATTCAGGTGTTCAAGCTACCGAAATGTTGCATGGGGTGCCCCTCATGCTTATTCCATCCGCTGGCACCAAGCTCATTTCGGCCGCCGGAACCAACCGAAATGGCTTACTTTTCTCCCACCAGTTCGAAATCCTGGCCCCCACTCAGGGTATGAGGCCTGAGCATGAGTCAGTGCTATATAAGTAACTTAGCCAGAAATGCTTTCAACAATTGCCATCTGAGATTGATTATACCAATCTCACATGCTAAGAATTCCAAAACGCCTTCTTAGCTCAGTTGGTAGAGTGAGTACTCTCGAAATGTCGAATTTGCAGCATTGTCTGACAGTCTGCGAAGGCGCGGCACTAGTATATCCTTATGGTTGATGCCGAGGTCACTGGTTCGACTCCAGTAGGAGGCAAACGTCCTATATATGACCATCTTTTTGAAGATTTGGGGAATATTTTTGCTCTGAGAGGAGCTAAATTGGGTTTGTGCGGAGTGGGGAATGCCCAGAGTGCTTGGCATGGCTTGTGGATCCAAGAGACTTGGTTGATTAACAGGACCTCATATTGTCTGTAAAGAGGCTTTGTATGCAGCATGGGTGCGAGCAGCTAAGAAGGTGGTCATGCTGGACGTGTCAGCTGGCCGTGGGTTGATGACACTGCGGTTGAACTCAGATTGTAAAAGCAGCAGACATGATACAGGTCACCACTTCTCAACCGGTCAATAACATCCGCCATAGTGTGGCCTGTCCCATCTTGCCTCCTTCTTCTTCTCCTCAGGCTCACTCCGATCGTCAAAATACTGCACTCTCTTCTTCTCAGTGAGAACACGCAGATCGAAGTCCTCTCTATGATCAATCGAAGTCCCATTAACTGAAACATACGGCCGCGTATCATCCTGTCCATCCCACTTTGCGCGCCAAACTTCCCTCTTCCCTTCATTGCTAACACTCAGCTCTGCGAAATCCACGACAACGGTCTCCCCCACCCCACCGAACGTAAAACATCGCACTCCACATTTTGGACAGAAGTAGAACTTCAGTTTCTTGCTGTGAGTTTGGTAGGTACTCAAGTCACGATCTGGGTCAAGTGGTGAAAGGAGCATGAAATCGTCTCGCTGATTGGCAGGGTGAACGTGGAAGAGGTTCAGTTTGTGACAGGTGGTGCAGTTACAGCGGTAGATTTCTTGTTCGTCCACTGGTTGTGGTGGATGAGATGATGAGAAAGCATGTGGAAGTGCGAGAAAGACGATGTACTGCGTCAATCCGCAGTGACATGATCCGTGGCATGCTTGTCTTTTTGGCGCTGACTCTGCCATCTTGTGAAATGAGAAGTCTTGAGGTGAAGTCCTGATATAAAAGGACGAGGTTGGTCAATCATGAAATCTAAGAGAGCAGAGAGCCTTCGGCTTAAAGCAGCTGGGTTCTGATAGCCGTCGCAACTCAGTTCGTGCGTGTACGTCATAGGGTCCACTGGTTCAGCAGCAACGTGTCTCAAGCCAGGAAGATGTGCGTGGGAGAACACAAATCTGATTGAGAAGGTTCCGCGTGAATGGAACATCAAGAGGAACAACAAGCCAGCAAGGGAATCGGAATCAACATATCTATCAAGTGTGCTTCAAGCCGGTAGAACCATTAGCGAGGGCGTTGAATACGTCGCTACGAGCGAGTCATGCTCTCTCAGGGGTTGTAGCCTTGGACGAAGTGAAGCGAGAGGAGAGGTTCGGCAAAGGGCGTGGTGCAGTAGCGCCTCTACTCTTGACCTGATCCCCCGCGGAACCATGTGGCGATGGTCTCGAGAAACGCAGATATGATATTTTGTTGGATGAAAGTGTTACGAAGTGGAAGTTTGACTGTCAGCATTGGCTGCCAAAGCTTCTACCGTGACGATGGCTTTGACAGCGGCTCAAAGGAATAAGGCGCTTTTGGGAGATCAGGAGTGACGCATGTTCTTGGTTTACGCCCAAAGAGCTGGCGGTGTCTCGTTCTGCGGATAAGATAGGGGGCTTTGCAGGGAGAATGCAGTCTGGCACTTCAAATTTGGATGGCTTTGCGCGCCTGAGCCCCAAATGGACAAGTTGATACCTCCTTCTGCTGGCCTCAATATAGGCACCTATGTGCATTGTTCCTAGTCTGTTGTCTCCGTTTCATCCCTTCCTACGGCACTTTTCTCCCGAAGAGTAAGACCACATCACCACTGCAGGTTTATTATCGCCGCACTTGACCATGGCAAAGTGACAGAGATTGTCCCGTTCTGCGCAGCTGTCAAGACCTCGCCAGAGGTGACATTGTTCATCTTCACCGGCTTGCCGCCTTCCAGCTCGAGATTGTACGATATTCCATCAAAAGTGATGCCTGTAATAGCATCACTCCCATTCGCTAGAAGTCGTTGCACATTGATACCCTTCAATGCTGTTACTTGAGCAGCTGGCAGTTGAAAGCTGAAGGTCTCGCTTGGTCGAGGTTTTGAGTTGATGGCGACGCCAGAACCGCTGCCGTTGAATGTGGAATTGTACGCTGTCAGTTGGATTATTGCAATCCTCTCTAGGCGGTCATCAACATACGCTCCGTATGCGTTCTGGTGTATGTTTCCGAGCTCGAAATCCGCGATGCTGACATTTCCCGCCGTTAGGTTGCCAAGGAAGGACGCTACCATGATATTTCCGTAGTACGGGGCTTTTGTTCCTTTGGTGGCGTTAACGGTGTCGATCGGTTGCCATGACTGGTATCTGTAATTTGTCCCTTGATGCATATGGACGCGGGCGATACCTGTGGCGGCACAATACAGATTGAAGTCAACACCCCATAGTGCCGCGCCGAAGGAGTTAGACAGGCCGGGAGCACCTTCGTTGTACAAGCTGTTGGTTTCGCCGAGGATGTACGGAAGACCAGTATAAGCAAGAAGCCTTGTTTCATTCAGGTGCTTGTTGATCGACAGCACCGTTGAGGTATGGTTCATCAGTGTTCCCTGAAGTGTAACACCTGGCTGAGTTGCTCCTCCAATGTAACTGGATCTCATTAGCGATAATTAGGAACGACGAAAGACGACTCACTTATGACTGTCAATGAAAGCAATGTCCTTATCGGCATCCAGGCCAGCTTTCCAAGTTGTTATCATGTTCAGACTGTTCGAAGTCCCTGCAAAGTTAGGCGAGTAGAACTTGAACTTGCCCTGAGAAATGACGTCGGGGCAATTCTGCTGCACCAATTGTCGAATGAGGCCGGTCTTGTTCAGCCATTCCTGAACATAGTAGGTCTCGTTCCACCAGCTGGGCCTCACTGGACCTTGAGAACTGGTTTTGAACAAATCGGGTTCATTACCCAACTCCCAATACGCGGTCTTGTTGACCCCGAGAGCTTTGCAGACCAGAGGCACAGTGCCCACAAGGGTATCATGGCCCGCTGAACCGTTCTTTCCAAGGTTGAAGCCGTGAACGTAGGTAACTCCAGGCCAGGTTGAGTAAGAGTCGAAATACGAAGGACCAATTGAGATCGTTGTTGGGTAGTCCTTTGATCGGTTGAAGTTGAAACTACCTATCAAAGCGTCCGACTGAGATCCGTTGAAGGTTGCATAGTCCCTATTTTCTCGTTAGCATATCGACGTAAAATCGCTTCAAATTCACGTACTCGGTGTTTCCGCCAACTCTGATGATGGGATAAGATCCCTGAAGATCGCGAAGGTTGTTCAAGAGGGTATACGAGAAGTCATTGGGCTGAGTCGAATTGCCTAGATTTCTCCGTTACGACTATCTAAATGGTGCTTCAATGCTTACCTGCAAAATCTGGGAACGACGAGAACTCAATCGAGTACGAAACGAAGGACTCAAGAAGAGGTTTGCTGGCATTCTTCGCAGGGGCAATAGACAGAGAGATGGTGCACACTGCTACCTGAGCAAGGAGGCCGCCAGCAACAACTCGTGGCAAAAGCATTTTGGTGTAAATTTCGCCTGCTTGAAAGAGAAAGCACTCACCATCAACTTAGGCTTTGCGATGATCATTTATGCAAAACTTGTCAGAAGTACACCTTCGGCCAAGACCACGTACTTCCAGCACTCCGCGGACTGTGACAGCAATGCGACATGGTAGTGCCCGAATTTCGCACAGTCTCTGGTATTCCAATTGGTGGGAGACGCGGCCCATGGGGAGGGTTACAGAAGCTTTGCGGGGAAAGCTTCAGAAATCGGGCCTAGTCAACCAGTTTTGGGTGCGGAGGACACCTGAACGATCATCCATCTGCCAGGTTGACATGCTCCGACAGTGGGTTTTGAGGGCAACAGCAGCGTCATACGCCTCGCTTGCATCGCATGAGGGATCTGTTGGCGGCAATTGATGCAGTGAGACTGATTGCTGATCCAGTTTGTTGTTGCAGACTCAAGAGGTTGTGTTTTCGGTCAAAGCTGAGCTGAACTTGGATTTGGCCTTGGCAGATTCACGCCAAGGCAGTCTCTCTGTACGGCAGAGCACCGCAGCCCTCGGGGCGCAAATCTTCATATCCCTCGTTTTCCTTGCGCGCGCGATGACAACAATTTTAACCCCATAAATTCGACAGAACCTTGTCGCGACACAATCAACGATGCCGTGAGAATACTCATTCTATCTGCAGTTCCTGAAAATATCCAGTATGCCTTCAAGGTCACGCTCGCGAGGTCGCTCGCCCACCAGAACTCACACGCCAACTTCTGTGCAGAGACACCCTTCACCACCGTTCAATCCCTCCCGCTCTCCGCGACGATCACCTTCTCCGAGGTCAAGATCCAGGTCAAAGACAAGAACACGGTCTCTAAGCGGATCTCGAACGCCTCCTCGTGATGGCCGGAACGGTCATGCGCGCGGCAGAAATCACAGTCGAAGCATTACGCGCAGTCGAAGTCCAAGTCGTGGGGATAGGAGATCGTACCGAGAGCGAAGCCATAGCCGGAGTCCCAGCAGAGAAGGTCGTCGAGGACAAAGCTCGAAGATTGTGGTGGAGAAGCTCACGAAGAACGTGACTGAAGCCCATCTTCGGGAGATCTTTGGCTCATCTGGACGCATCGAATCCATTGATCTGCCACTTAACAAACAATGCATGTATCACTTTGGTCCGGGAAGAGAAAAGCAGCTGACGTGAATCAGTCATGACAAATCGTGGCACAGCCTACATTCTTTATGACCATCCCTCCGGGTCAGAATCGGCCATTGCACACATGCACGAAGCGCAATTGGATGGCGTTGTCATCTCTGTCAGCATTGTGCTTCCTCGAAGAGCTTTCTCCAGATCTCCACCTCCAGCGAGAAATTCTAGATATGCTCCACCGCCTACTCGCTACCCTCCTTCGGCGCCACGAGGCCCTCCGCCGCGAGGATACCGTAGCTCACCACCGCGAAGAGGAGGGTACGGTGGAGGAAGACGAGGGCCAGAAGACAATACCTACATTCCA